AAGCTATTTTGAAAAAATAGAAATAAATATGAAACTTCTATACCCTGTATCTCGGAAACTGAGCATTTTAGGACTTACATTTAAATAAACTTTTTTACTTATTTTTATCTGCAGAATATGCTGCCGAAGTTTCCGGAATACAGTTCGGACCACCCTGTATAATTACTCACAGTGTATTACTTTTAAATCTTTTTATATTATTTGCAACATCTGAATTGTTTAAAAAATCTGCTTGTTTAAAAAATTATTTGTAACGTTTAAAAAGAAATAGCATGTTCTATTCGGATAAAAAATGTATTTTTATGCCTTGCCTGTAATGATGTGGTCAAACGTACAGGGTGGGTCAAATTCGACGCTTTTAAATGGAAACACCCTTTTCTATAGGAGATAGACGAAAACTAATATCGGTGTCTGGAGCTCAATTTTCATCAAAAACATGATGGTGAAAACCGCACATCAATATCTTTTACCGTTTCGGAGTTACGGGGTGTTTTTCAAAAATGTGCATTTTTAACAAATCGCTGTAACTTTTTTGCTATGGAAAATGTTGTATTTCTATGAAAACATTTCCAAAGCACCTTTTTACGTAGAATTTAACGGTTTAAGTATAATTTTTTTAAAATTAATAATTTAAGAGTTATCAACAGAAAAATTTATTTTTTATTTGGGACACCCTCTATATTTTTAATTAACCGAAAAGAATTTAAAATTACCTTTCTAAAAATATAGCACACTTGATATTTTGTTATAATCCCCTTCGAAATACAGAATTTTTAAAAGTTCGCCACTTTTAACTAGTAGGCTTTGGACCCCTTATTGATGATATGCCCTTAATGGAACCCGAAAACATATTTTTCCAGCAAGACGACGCACCGCCTCTAAACTTTGAAGTTATCAGCAAATTTTTGCATCCAATTTCAAGAATAATTGAATAGCTAACCAAGATTCCAGCCGTTGGCCGTCGAGGCCGCCTGACTTAGTGCCCATGAATCTAATCCTATGGATATATTTGCGACAAGGATATATAATCTATGGATATATAATCCAGACAAGAATTAGAAATACTTAGCAGTTATGAGAAGATATCTTTCACCCCCACTGAGTTAATGAAATCTGCGAGAAATGTTCAAAAACGGCCCCGTCTGTCCATAATAGAAAACGGTCGATATGTCGAACACCTGTAGCAAAATCTCATGTCTTGGTTTCCTATTTATTTTTATTGTTGTTAGATATAGTTTAAATGTGTGTTGATGTTGGTTAAATATATTTTAAATAGTTATAAAATTCTCTCATAGCAAATATTATTTTCGTTTTAATTGATGCTCACAGCTAGATTTTTTTGCATTACAGCCGGTGCTTCCATTTAAAGCGGGTGAATTTTTATATACTCTATATCCCGAAGAGGAATCGAGCAAAATATCAAGTGTGTTATATTTTTGGAAAGGTATAGTCTGTCCAACGAGAAGATCCTTGATAGTGATAGATGTGTCTGCCATTTTAATTTCAAAGTAGTTTATTTTATTTTACAAAGAAATAAGTTGGTATAACTGGAACGAATAGCAGGATATATTTAAAATTTGATTGACAAGATGACAAGTGATTACTTCAAAATATTGTGAAAAAACTGTATAAAACTGAAAAAATGTAATCGAGTTATTTTATTTAATAAAAACGGTATGTGTTAATACAAAACAAACAAGAACAAGACACTACATACCAAAAAAATATAAAAAAGAACTATTATTTCCTTTAAAGCTTTATGAAACTACCCGCATTTATGATTATATTTATCAATATAACTTATGTACAAATACAAATTTGTAATATTCCACAGGAATAAATAAAACAACATAGGTAAATAAAACAAACTATATTATTAATAATAACACCTACCAAATTTTATACCTTTGATTAATTAACTTTTAATCTTAATTTTTTTAAACCAGTACCTTTTGACATTATTTTTCTGCAGTACTAAAATCCATTATTTACCTATCGTGTGATGTCGATATTTTACAGCTACTCCAGTTTTTAGTATGTGTTTAGTTTGATCCTTCTACCATATACGAGATGCACTTATCTACGACGAAATGGTATACAAACTTTATCGATGGCAACTTCATTGGTGTATAAGACTTTCTGCCTGGGCAGCGAGTATTAACCATAAACTGTGCTCTGAGTCTACAGTTAATTTTCACTCGATTTTTCCTCCACTTGACTTCAAAAGACACAAAACACACGTAATAATACGAATCAAAATGCATCATCTTCCAAAACGCAGAGTATTTAACAAAAGTTGACACAAAATTATAACCTATAATTTGGCAAGACTTTGACAAGCGTCAAAAATGACAAAAATCTAAAGGCGAGTTTATACGCATCGGCGTCCGTTTGTCGTTCATCGTTCCGTCAAACCAATAAAATTGAAATACGATCTGTCATTTTTTAAATAAACCAATAAAACTGGTTAAAAACAACAAGACACGACGCATGACGGATTTATATTAAAACCCATCCATAGATAAGTTAAAAATTATTAGAAACTTTTTTTAGTAAAATAAATAGATTGGTATGGGACGTCATCTGCTTTTCTTCTGTCATCGTCTGTCGAAATCTTACCTGAGAAAAAAACAGAGTATAATTTTAAATTCTTTGCAATAAATTAAAAATATACAGGGTGTCCCATATAAAAAATCAAATTTTCTGTTGATAATTCTTAAATTATTAATTTAAAAAAAAATATACTTAAACTATTAAATTCTACGTAAAAAGGTGCTTTGAAAATGTTTTCATGAAAATACAAAACTTTCCATAGCAAAAAAGTTACAGCGATTTGTTAAAAGTGCATATTTTCGAAAAACACCCCGTAACTCCGAAACGGTAACAGATATCGATATGCGGTTTTCACCATCATGTTTTTGACAAAAACTGAGCTCCAGACACCGATATTAGTTTTCGTCTATCTCCCATAGAAAATGGTGTTTCCCTTTAAAAGCGTCAAATTTGACCCACCCTGTACAGCCTCTCCACAAAAAGTATAATTTTTACTCCTAATAAAACAATAAATATACCGTTTTTAAGAGGTAAAGCACTTTAGTTTTATAAGAAAAACGTGACAAATTAATAATGAAAAAAAAATCAAGTTTAAAAACTGAATTAACCCCTGTACAAAAAAAGTTAAAACATAAGTACGTAAATCATTTTTTGAGCGAGGGTCAGCGCGACGCTACTGGACAAAAAGAACAGGGCAAAACAGCCTAGGGTGCAAAAAAATCGGTCCCTGCGGGTTTCAATTAATAACCCCAGCAGCTAAAGCACTCTAATAAAATCATTAATCATATGACAGATTACCTCCACCCCGACCAATTAAATTATAGATTTCAAAATGCTGAGTTGTATCGAGATTTTGATTAATTTCAATAATAATTGTTACCAATTTTTTATTTTTATTCGGAAAATATTAAGATCCAGCCAATAAAGATATTTTTCTAATAAACTATAAACCATAGCATAATGCAGGGTAGCGCACCTCATTCGCCTCGGTTATGTATTATAAGAAAACGAAATGATGTAGAAACAAAATATTTTATGGGCATATGTAAAGAGGCAATGTGCATAATTTAAAATTATTTTCAAATGTACAGGGTGTGTCAGAACTAAGATCCATACCAAAGTTATATTTTTTCATATGGCTTAAATGATTAAATGCTTTGGTTTCTGAGATATTTAAATATGCATGCTATAATAAAAAAGATTGTCAACACCCTGTACATTGCTTTTCAGAATTAATTCTTGTGCTGACTTTGAAGCCACAGAAATAAACTTCACTAAAAAATGTTATTGCTTCCTTAAATGTATACAGGGGTATCAAAAATTGCTGGTCTATTTTAAATATTTATTTTACATAAAAACTTCGTTATTTCAAATACAACACTATGTATTTTTTTAAATAAATCGAAGCAGATCTAAATGCTCTTTCAAACTATATTAGGGTTTCCTATACCTATCTGGCTCAGATTTTGAATAAAAAGCGTAGATATATTGGATTTTCTATAAAAAAGCCAATTAAGGCAAATTCATTTACTTCACTTCCAACGACAGGTTTCTGCCTAATAGGTTTTTTATATACCGCACTATCAGCTATGCGAAATAAGAAAACTAGTTTTTCAGAGGAACGCTTGCAAAGAAAATTTCTATTTGGATATCTTTGGGCCTAAACCCTTTAGACCAACCAAGCAATTGTCCTCACAAAATAAAATCACTACTAACATATCCATCCTTTCTGCCAGCAGATACTGCTTCATTTTTCTTGATACAATAATAAATACTTACTTCTTAATTTTATTGTAGGTAAATTAAATAAAAATAACCTGTTATAAATGTAAATAAAGTCCATAAACCAATGTTGATTTTGAAAATAGCTACTAAGTGTCACTAGAAAATTGAAAATAAACAAAATATATTATTTTTATTGAATCTTTCGAAGGCTGTAATTTCTTCGGGAAGCATTTTAGGGCATATGTTCATAGAAACTTTTTGTTTAAATTTTATATGGTAGAATCACCCTCCAGAGTTAGATACACTATTTTTTTGAGACCCTGTATATAAGAAACATTCATTTCAAACGTTATACAGAGAAATTTTGAAATAATATACCTTGTAAAATAATGTGTTCATCATATTTGGAAATTAATGTAAAATTAACTTTACAAATAATTTTCTAAATTACATGTAAACATGTAAACCTCGATTTTAATTTCATTACTTTTTTTAACAAAATCCTAGGAGACAAAAATTGCTCAATAGTTACCACTAAAGCTATTTTTCTAATAAACTGTTTATCAGGGCATAATATATTATGCATTCATAACAAATTAAATAAAAAAAGTTCAATTTCTATTAAAACCTTTTCTCATTAACCATTATGACAAATATACCCCCATTTTAGAAAAAGAACATTAATTATAACTGTTATACAGCGAAATTGCGAAATAATGTACCTTGTGAAATGATGTGTCCATCGTCTTTGGTCCAGTAGTTAATCGATTTGGGATAGGCCTCCGAATGACACTCCAGAGTGATTTGCTGGCCCTCCATGGCCCCCACCAGCTGATTCTGGATCCAGATCATTGGGGCAACTGGAACAGGACAAAGGAGCAATGTGAGATAAATCAACGGCAAGTGGGTGACTGCTATATCGACACGGATTTGAATAGCGTTGCTTTAGTACGGCATCAGTTTATTGCAGATTGATTTATGTGTAACTAACTATAGAAAATAAAAGTAAAAATTGAAGGAATCTCTACTATAAAATCGTTTTTTAGTAACGTATATACGTTAATATATAATACTACCATAGGCCCACCCTAATATATAATAGACCCACCCTAATAATAATAAATCCACTCTAATTTCAATAGACCCACCCTAATATATATTAGAATGGGTAAAAATAATCGATTTTTTTTTTCACTTTATACTCTGAAAAAAAGTTGATACCTCAAAAAAATTCTCTCCAGGTATGAGCTCTTAATTTTAAGAGGAAGATCCTTCGTATTTCAGTTTTCTATTTTTTTCTTATTATTAGAAAGGAAAATTCTCGGTATTTACTTTTTGGAAAGAATATGTCGTTATATTCTCATATGTTTGTAGGAAATTGAATGCTCTACAAAAAAGGCCCCTTACAATTTTTTTTGAAACCTCACCGTTTCAAAGTTATTAACGGTTGAAATTTGATGATTTTAAGGTTTAAGATTTCTTTTTTCTTATGAATTTTATAACTTATTAACAAAAAATCATTATGATACGCTCAATCCACGGTTTTGTAGGAAATTCACTGCCCTACAAAAATGGTTTCTTATGATTAGTCGATTAAATTAACTGTTTAAAAGATATTCATCGTTAAATTTCAATGCACACTAATTTCAACAGATTTTCATTAATAAAAATTTTTATACATTTTATAAATTTAAGTTTTTGTAGTGAAAATAACTACTATGTAAGTTCTCTGTCCGAAAATTTATTTGAAATTTATTATGTATTCTTATAATATTGTTTTACGTGGGTCCACTAATTTAAACTCACGATAAAATACTTAACAAATTTATTAAATAACAATAACAATATAAGTAACAGGATGTACTAGGATGTGTCACGGCGGAAACTTAAATTTGTAAGAATTTCCCCGAAACTCATAAACTAAATTGGAATTGTTCGAATTATTAATCAAAACCTGTTAAAATTATTGTGAAGTGAATTGAAGTTTGATGATGAATATCGTTTAAACGGTTAATTTAATCGATTAATCATGAGAAACAATTTTTGTAGAGCAGTGAATTTTCTACTAAACCGTGAGTTGCGCGTATCATAATAATTTTTTGTTAACGAGTTATAAAATTCATAAGAAAAAATAAATCTGCCTTAAAATCATCAAACTTCAGCCTTTAATAAATTTCGAACTGTGAGGTTTACAGAAAAATTGTAAGTGACCTTTTTTGTAGAGAATTTCCTACAAATATGATATTTTTTCCAAGTCGTATATACCGAGATATGAATTTTTCTTTCTAATAATAAGGGAAAAATAGAAAACTAATAGGCGGAGAACCTTTCTATTAAAATTAAGAGCTCATACTTGGAGAGAATTTTTTTTGGGGTGTCTGTAGTCTATAAAATGAATAACTTTGAATTTTAACCGTTATTTTTTAACAATATGGCAAATATAAAATCCCTCTACCAAAACAATTACGGATATTCTTTAAATTGAGCCCGAACGAATCAGATAGGTAACTCTTTTTACTTTCGTAAAATAGAAAAGGAAAATAATAAAACAAGTGACAGTTCTTCCTCTTCTTGCAAAAATCAACATAAAATGTCATAATTGTCAAAAGCAAAATGTCATCAGCTTTATATTTTTCTAAATATCAGACAAATACCGTCTCTAATAGAACAGCCTCGAGATTTATGACATCACGCTAGTTAGATACTACGGATTAATAAATATGTTGTAGAATACATGGAAAACATAATTATTCCTCGTATTTTTGGTTTGTATTTTAAAAATTATATAGTTTACATGAAATATACATAATATACAGATAATAAATACAATATATATTATTTGTAGTAATAAATAGTTTGACAAATAAACTATGAACCATACAAATGCAGCAAATGTTTTACAATATGCAAATAATGAATAGGTACATAATATAATGGGTAAAATGTAAAATATATTTTAAGTTTTGGTGTTTTAAAGTCGATCTAATTTAACAAAAAAATGTTCAATATCTACTAATAGTGATGTATTATTATTTACATTCACAAAATTTATATGTTTATTTTGCAAGTATGAATGATCGAAAAATTATATTTGCAAATAATATAATATCATAGAAAAAAATGCGTCAGCGATGGCTATGAAATAAAGATCGCTGTCATTTTATTTGTAAAATTATTCTAAAATTTTTTATTTTCTTGGGATTTTTTTTCGGCAAAAACGCTGATTAAGTTTTCATTTGGGTTTTCATTATTTTTATTTGGTTTAAAAAAACGTTTCGGCTAACATTATAGCCTTCATCAGTGTTGTGTCATATGAAAAAAATAGTGTCGAATATATAATCCAAAAAAATACATATAAAATATTCATGGCTGAAGTCGTACTCCATAGTCAATGTAGGTAGTTTTAGTGTTAAGAATAATAATTTTAAAAGATATCTGGTCATCTTTTGACAAGTTTATATTAGTTTATTAATTTCAGTAAACATTATGTGGTGTGTGGTGTGAATATTAGTATTATTAGTAGTATCTAACTAGCGTGACGTCATAAATCTCGTTCCGAGACTGTTCTATTAGAGACGGCATTGCGCCAGCATGGCCGCATGTCGCTAACCTAATAAAATTAACACTATAAAAACCCGCGGGAACTGTCAAATTCAAACTTATTCGTTTCGCAGACTATACCAACCTTTTTTCAGAGTACAAAATGTAAGAAAGTCGATTTTTTTGGCCCACCCTGGAATATATACAGGATGTCCCGGACTGTCTTTACAAGAGAAATAAATTTGTATTTTCGTTAGTGGTGGATTCACCCGTTGGCAGTTGATTTCAATCTCTCGTTTGCAGAAGTATAATCCACAAACAGGTTTGGGTCAAGTTAGAAACAAACAATGCGTAGATATAAATTGACAATAGGTCGCTGTGCGAACAAAGCTAATATTTCATGATTTTAGTGCCAAAACAAACTAAAGAGGCCGCTTCTTCTACTTTCATTTTATGACATGTAAGTCAAACTTCTAACGGGAACTGTTTTCTGAATTTTATTTAAAACCACAATTTAGGCAGCACCTCGGTTGCACACTAAACATCTCCTTTACCTCCTACATGCTAATTTTGCCCTTCTAATCTAATCTCACGTCCTTAATGAGAAACTTAACGTCGACGACTTTGCCCGTTCGAGGAATTTCATCAAAACGTGATTTGCTTTGAAGTTGGCTGCGCTTAGAGTGAACAGCGGGTCCCATTTTTACTGGAAGAATAGAAGGAAATGCACTGGGGAGATAATTATTTGCTGGTTTTATTAAACATAAAATAAACTCTGTTACAAATAGGTTACAAAATTTAAAATAGACAGGGTGTTTTAAGAGTCAATTTCACTAGTCCGAAAAAGTAGCAAAATAAGCGTTCGGCATTTAGCGTTTTATGTAAAACTGGCTAGCTATTTTTACAAAAACGAAGAAGGAAATTAAAGATAAAGGATTATACTATATCTGTATTGTAGCACATTTTTATACAACTTCTTTATTTTTAAGGTTTTGATGGTCAAACATTAACAAAATATTCCTTATGCTTGGACTAAATTTTGCCGAAAAAAAAGACACAAAGAAAAAGACATAATTTAAAATTCTGTTACAACACGGAAATAGACTAAAGTTTTGTGAAACCATTTTTCTTCTTAAGGTGCCGTGCAGATTCCTGCATAGGCGTTCATCTTTTTCTTCCTCGTCAGATGGTTCTGTTAATTGCAGCGACTTGGAGTGCTTGGAAGTCCTGTTCAATGACGAATATTTCTCAGCCAGGATAGCTTCCTTCGACCTATTCCCCTTTTGCCCCCCCCCCTCTATTTTACCCTGCAAACCATAATCAAACCTTAATCAAAGCACGTGTGTTTGGACTTTTCGGTGAAGCTTAACACGATAGGATCGGGCTACACCTTAGGCAGATTTCTGAAATATAATATACAGGGTGGTCCGAACTGTATTCCGGCAACTTTAGCAGTATATTCTGCAGATAAAAATAAGTAAAAAAGTTCGTATAAATGTATGTCCTAAAATGCTTAATTGTACTGTGAAGCTCTTCTAAAACTACGGGCGAAAAAAAGAAATTGTGTAAGTTTACATTATCATTAGACAGATAAGAAAGTGGATCATGAAAAGGACATATGGTATTAATTAAGTTTTTCGCTACATTTACAAAGTAATCGTTAAGGTTCTCAGGTGAGGTAGAGATATTGCTAGACGAAGAAGCTTTGTTTTTAATTCATTCACAATAGACTATGTTTCTTTAGCAACATCACCAGGATTGACTATTCTCCTATTATAATAAAGGTCCTTAGCGGCTCTTATAGTCTTATGATAAATTTTTCTGTATCGTTTTACGTAATTGTGGAAGAAGACACTGTCTGAGAATTTTTTTAAGTGAGATAATGAACATATGTTTTTAAAAGATATGCGTAGACCTTTAGTGGTCCAAGGTTTATTATGCTTATTTTTGATAGGCCTAAGAGGAAAGGATTTGAACGCTAGACTGGTTAATGTTTTTACGAAAATAGAAAATTCGGTGTCGACATCATAAGAGCTAGTATCCCAGTTGGTTGTTTTACATAAGTGGCTGAACTTTTGAGCATCCTTTTCTGAAAAAATACGGCATAATTTACGAGGGGCATTTTTGATTTTGGACTTTATCGAAAATTCAGGTAAAACTGCTTCATGATCAGAGAGACCCGAGCTAAAGATGTTGCAGGCGATGGAGTTAGGATCAAAAGATGAATAGAGATATAAACCTAGATATAAGAATAAGACTGCTCCGATGCTACGTGTTTTCGACCTTATTGTATGGTGCCGAAGCGTGGACTCTTAAAACA